CCCCCCCATCCAATTTAACAGTTTTGTCTACTGTATCTTCCTTTGGACCAGAGAGAGATGCAATGCAAACATTTGTGCTAAAAGTTTCAAAACAAAAGAAAAAAATATTTTAATTTTAAAAGAAGATTTCGCAGTTCTGATTTCTAGAAAGAGTTTATCTGACTTTAGTTCTGTGCTGTGAGGGAAAACACAGTACAGTACAAACTCTGGGTGGGAGGTGATGGGATTTGCAAAGGTCCAGTAGAAACAGGCCATCATTCGAAGTTATGTGAAGGGGGAACGATAGGTGAAGCAGCACTGGCAGGAAGTGAACTTCTCTGTATTTCTCCCATGCTCTTTTTTGGTTTTACATTTTTCACCCATGGACTTAGCAATTCAGCTGTTTTGTACACAGTGACGACAGGTGAATAAAGATTGTGTGAGCCAGAGCGTCATCTCCCTGGTCTTCTGCTAGACCTCAGGGGCTCCTCTGTCCTTTTCTTCTGGTCTGTTTTGTCCTGGAGAAGAAAGAAGGGCCGAAGCCAAAATAGGACCTTCTCAGAGAAAACCCATTTATTTTTCTCCTGCCTTTCCTGAGCTCAGGTTAGACTTGGTAGCAGCCTAGCTAGCATTTTGGAATAGGAAGTGCATGCAGGGCTGAGTCTTCCATGCAGAAACATGTTAGTGCACAAATAAGCACAAATGAAGCGCACTTCCAATGTTAAGTGGTTACAAGTAATTTTTATTTTTATTGTTTGTGGTTCACTGGTAGCTAAGAGTAGATACTTAAAAAGTGGAATGCACTGATGAGCTATAGTTATTCACAAATACCATCTTTTTCTTTTAATTCATTATGTATGTTTCTAAGACTCAAATGCCAGAGTTGGAGCAAGTCTATAGGTCATTTTTCTGGTGTCTGTCCTGGTAGTGGTTAGCCATGCATCCCAAAGAAAACAGAGAAAACATCCCCAGATGATATAGGAGAATTTGAATTTATACCCTTTTCCCCACCTCAAGCAGTGTCCTTATAAGCCCTAAAATTTAGTGTTATATTCCTTAAAAAAATATATATATTTTTAGTGCTGGATGTTCTTACCTATTAATTCTGGATGATCTTCCCTATTAGATTGTTCTCAGTTCATTTTAGGACTATGTAAACTGCAACCTATCATCATCATCTAACTGAGCTCTACACTCTGGCACTCTCTCTAAAAAATTCATCTTACCATACTTTAATCAAACCCTCGAGTATAATTAAGCATCTCCTTTTTAAATTCTGTATGGTTTACAATCTGTTAAACACCTTCAGCTGAAGAGCATATTCCCTGTCCCCCGTGCCTACAAATCACACCATATGAATGTATTAGATTCAGTAAATAAAGACTGCAGATAAAGATGTGTGCACTTCTATGCATCCACTATTCAAAATCTTATGTGTAAATCAGTGTGTTAAAATTTGGATCCCACTTTTGGATAATGAGCCTTTTTGAGGTGTATTTTTAAAAATTACTTGTGAAAGGTACAGGACAAGTATCATCAAATTGTTTGATAAAGGCCATGTCTCATGTGAGATACATTTTAGTATAAATTATTTTTGAAAGCCTAAGCTTCATTTGAAGATCAGATAGCACCAACATCCTGATTATATTAACCAAACATCCATCTGAAGAAAGCAAATTATGCAGGTGACTCAGAAAACCTCTGACTCAAAACATACACTGTTTATGTTACATGCAGTAAAGGTCATTCTAAATTAACAATCATTGACATTTTTATAGAAGAAGAATGATTGCTAATTCTAGGTGCATGATAGGTTTCCATTTATTGCCTTGTTAATTTGTATTATGTGTTTGTTATGTAATACATCTGAGTTTTTATATAAAAATTCAGTTGTTGTCTGCTTCACTTTTGTCGATTCACAGAGATGCAGATATGTAATTCCTTTGGATTTTATACTGTGCACTTTTGAAATGTGTAAATTGGATCAGTGATGTTTGTAATGTCGTACTGGAGAGCATACTCTAAAATATATGGGTTTGCATTTTAGAAAACAATGAAATACAAGATGCAAATTAATCTTTTCAGGTTCTTAATCATCTCCATAAGAAGTTGAGAAATATGTCAAGGAAGTCAGAAGTATCCAAGAAAAAGGTAGATTGCTTTCATTACCAATATCTATTTATTTATATAACTAAGCTAATTTGATATTATATTGCTTGTTGCCAAAGATGTAACGGAGAGAAGGAAGTATGAAATGAAGTATTTAATGACATATTCAGTGTCTCTCTGAATTTAGCCAGACTGGAATTTTTTCTGATCCGAGTTTTCCATCACAGTGTATCAAGCCATTACCTGAGATCCCTACAGTTTGAACTTTAGAGCATCTGAAATTTAGTCATGGAGAGAAAACCTGTCTCTAATATATTTTTTTTTTTCTTCACAGGCATTTTTCCCCTAACTTTTAGATCTTTTATTTATGTATTTATTTTTAACTAGCTGAATTTTAATGTTTTATGAAGAGTTCCTAGGTTATATGATGCAACTTTAAAATTTGGTTTCTTGTGTTTCCTGATAGAAGACTAATAAGAGACTTTTGATGATTCTGCAATTCTGTTGATTTTCCCCCCATTTTTTTTTCTCTTGTGTTTAAGACTTAAGTTATAAACTGGTTACAAGTAGAATTGTGAAAGGTCTTTAAAGCAGAATATAATGTCTGTGATTTAGAAGAATATTTGAAAGATGTGTTTATATATTGAATTTGTTAGTTAATATAATATGGTTCTGATTTTTGAGCAGATTTGACCACAGTAATCATTTGACTAACTTCTCAGTTTATGAATGTGGAGTCAGAAAAAAACCCTTAGGCTACAGTTCTTCATTTGATCACTATTAGCATATGGGCATGCAGACTGCATTGTAAATGGGATATACGTGGGCTCAACAGGGAATAAGTGATCTATTATTTATGCATTCTCTATTTTTAAAAAAAAAACCCTGGTCAATATATTTTAATTTCTATAATTAAAAACACTGTGGCCCTGATTCCGTATAATACTTAACATATATACTTTTGCACTTAATGTTGTCAAAGCCGAAGATGTAGTTTTCAAAGATGTTCTGTACATTGCCATCTCTACTCTCATCTAAATTATTTTCACACTGGAAATATCTGTGCATTTTCTCTAAATGCCAGTGCTTAAAAATTGCAAGTAAAAATCAGATCTGGCTATGAACTAGCTTTCATAGCTTCAGGGAACAGCATTGCAGATATGCCCAAGACTGCTTGGATGTATCAGGGTTCAGTGACCTAAGGGCAACAAAAAAAATCAGGACAAAACTTTTCTTACCTTAGAAAATAAGTTTCTGACCCTAAGGCCTAACTCATGTTTTTCAAAGCAACTCTTTCCACTAGTGTGCTGACTATCTCTCTGTTACTGTATCTTTTGTCTTTTCTTTCTACTGTTTTGTTAAGAGTGCATTTCAGGCTTAATTATACATTTCAGGCTTAATTATACATAATGAAGAAATGCATTCCTGTGACGGTGATGAGGCACTGGAACAGGTTGCCCAGAGTTCTGGCTGCCCCCTCCCTGGCAGTGTTCAAGGCCAGGCTGGACGGGGCTTTGAGCAACCTGGGCTAGTGGAAGGTGTCCCTGCCCATGGCAGGGGGTTGGAAATAGATGGTATTTAAGGTCCCTTCCAACCCAAACCATTCTATGATTCTGTGATTCTGTGACTTCTATCTTTATTCAAACCTTTTTGAAAATTTCAGTAGTAGAATCTTAAACTTAATTTGCTATATGTGTGGAAAAAAGTTAATGAAAAATATGAATGTGCCTAAATGCTATTTTTCATGCTTTTTGGTCACAAAGCATCAACATTAACATCATGCATTCCAGGTGGGTTTTATTTGCTAATGAGAAACCCTAAGCAAGCTCCATTTAGGTAAATGAGAGTCTTATAGTCTTTAGTCCTTTAGTCTTACCTTGGTTGCAAGGCATAGTGATGGTTTTGTAAAGATAAACTCTGAAGTTAGGCTTAGGAGGAATAATGGGACAAGACAAATGTGAGGTTTCCTAATGCAAAATTACTTATTCTACAGATATGAAATGCCTTAAGTAAAATAGTTACAAGAGACACATAGTCAACTTCTGCTTTCAGGTGAATCTATGCAGCCTATCAAAAGTCAGTGATTTATTTGGTGTAATTTTTTTTAGAATTTTGAACAAAAGGAAGTAATATGCCTCTTTTGAAGTAATTGTGCATGTAATATCTAGACAATCTGTTTTCAGGTGGAATATTAACACATTGAAGGGATCAGAGAAAGAACTGCTCTTAATTTACTTCCTTGATAGCACATTTGATGAGACCTGAAAGAGAAAAAATTTATGTGGCTGTTAGTGCCAACTGACTTAAACTCCACGGGGCTAAGTAGAGGAACAGCTTGTGAAAACAGATGAATCTCTGAGACTAAACAAATTATATTTACTATAGATATAACTGGGTTTCTGTTGTGAAATTTTGCTAACCAACAACAGTATCTGTCATAAGTTGTTCTAGCCTGTTGCCACAGAAATCAAACTTTTTTTCTGTAAGTTTCTATACATTGTCATCTTGTGATTAGGTAGGTGAGTTTGAATTATTACTGTACATTAATCAATTCAAGAAGTATAGGCCAAATTCAATAAACTAGCAATAAGTCTAGATATTCAGTTTAGCAGCAAGTTAAAGAAAACATTGACAGGCAAACTCCACTGTGCCCTGACAATACCTTCAGCACCTGAAACGTCTGTTCTGACTGATCCTGTGTCCGTCTGAATGGATCTAATGACTTGATGGCCCTTCCTCTCATAAATAACAAAAAGTGTAGTCAGGAGGCAGCACTGAGGGTATTTTGTGTTTCGTCCTTCTGAATTCAGTCTTTGGTGGTGAGCTTTAATTTCCACATTGGTTTTGAAAATGTGCAGTCACCTGAAATTTCAAGCTCCTTACTTTTTTATTCCCTAGTTGTATCCTAGAATATGAATTCCCCTGTGGAAACTTTAAAGGAGAGTCTGTTTAAAGAGCCTCTGCTCCTTTTGTAGACACTTGAGCAAAGTGTTCATCTGACTGCTCTAAGCTCTTCCACTGGCTGTCTTTTTTCTTGTATAATAGATCTCTCTTGAAATTTTGTTCAGAAATCCTTGTGCACTGTACTAAAATATAGATCATTAGATCTGGATGACATTTCTCAAAAGACCCGTGTTATCATTATTTTACATGAAGCTTATGCCCACCTCAGAAAAAGCTAGGCTTTTGTGTAGGGAATCCGGAACATCATCCTTTAAGTTAAGCAAAAGTATACATTTGCTTTTTACTGTGGCATTTTCAAGACTAAGGTTCTCCTTGCAGTAGTTCACTATACAAAATAAAACCCATACAGATAATGGAGTAAAATCAGTAATAAATATTCCAAAGTGTGTTGTCTCTCAGCATACCTCCCCCACACACACACCCATAATGGTTTTAAAGCAGGTTTAAAGCTGATTCTTCAAGTGCTCATCAGACATCTGTGTTTTCCTTTCCCTGTCTCAGACAGCACAGACTGTGTTGGTGGTGGTAGTGGTTTTTGGCATCTCCTGGCTGCCGCATCACGTGATTCATCTCTGGGCTGAATTTGGAGTTTTCCCACTGACTCAAGCCTCCTTTCTCTTCAGAGTAACTGCACACTGCCTGGCTTACAGCAATTCTTCTGTGAACCCGATTATATACGCATTTCTCTCTGAAAATTTTAGGAAGGCCTACAAACAAGTCTTCAAATGCCAAATAGGTAATGAGTCACCTCCGAATGATGCTAAGGAAAATAAAAGTCGGATAGATACACCGCCGTCTACCAACTGTACACATGTGTGAACTGTGAGAAGTCCTGTATGTTGGTTCTTCATGTGTGTGAGCTAAACACATAAAAAAACAAAGCACAAGGATTATCTTGGATTTATCTTGATAAAGCTAATTGGTATTTAATGTACTGAAGTTGCATTCATAGCAAAAGTTTGTGAAACTGGTTTGAAAGAAAACTGGGCTGATCCTTTTCGTCTTAGCTTTGTCAAATGAAGCTCTTGGACCTTTAAAAGATACTTGAGAAAAAAAATGTTGGAGATAATATGTCTGTATTCTTACTCGTTAAGCATATGGTGTGTAAACATTCAAGTATACAAGAAGGAAATACTGATATGGACAAGTAACTTTCTGACATTTTACTCCATTAAAGTGAAGAGATGGCTAAACTTTCAGTCTTACAGATCATAAATACTGTAGTACTACTTCAGAGAGGAAAACTTTTGTTCTCTTCTAATTGTTTTGACAATATCTTTTCTCTTTTTCAAGTGAAGATGGGCTCTGATTCGGAGTTTAAATAACCTGTGTATAACAAGGCTGTTGATTTAGAGAGAAAATACTTATTTTGTCTGTTTAGCTGTCTTTTTAATGTAGCATACAGAGTAACAATGGACTTTTTTCCACTTCATATGCCTGCCTTACTGTATACACAGACCTTCTGTGTATGCTTTATAAGGTTTTGTTTATGGCCTGTATGTAGTCGTACCATAATGAAGATTTGTGTCTATCTGAGGGAAGCTTTTCTTTGTGTGTTGCATGTGCGTGTGCGTGTGTATGTTTTGTTAACTTTATAGACTTTGACACAGAGATATAGTTTTAAATGTGCAACATATACATGTTTTAAAATATTATGTTCCATAAAGCACCTCTGGGCAATGCTTAAGCATTTAAAAATACCATTCCCTTAAAAGTCACAGGAGTGTCTTGATGTCATGTAGCTCTAAATTGGAAAATTCAGAAGGATATATTTAAATCAATACAAAGTATATAAGGTAAATGGTCCAATTCTACAAATTCTTAAATAAGATGAGTAGTTTCAGCAATTTTATAAAAGTACTTAATATGTCTTTAAGTGGTAAACCACTAAAGAAATAGTGGAACGGCACAGAGTCCTTTGAGAACATTATTATTAGCTGGAATAAGATATGCTTTTATGTTTTTTATTAATGACCCATAGAATAAATTAAGTTGAAGGAACCTCCTCTCAAGGCAGGGCTACCCTCAGAGCTGGATCACTTGCTTGTCTAGGCAAGTTTTGAAAATTTCTAAGGATGGTGATTCATCAATTTTTTGAGGGCAAGCTGTGCCAGTGCCTAATCACCCTCACTGAAATATTTTTTATTATCCCCAGTTGGGATTTCCATTGATGTAACTCATCACTGTTGCCTTCTGTGCTTTTGCTGTATAACTAAGTCTTCTCTCTAACTAATAGGTAATTTATGATGACAGTTAAATTTCCATCCAGCCTTCTCTTCTGAAACAATGTGTCACTCTCAGTCTCTCTCTTCATCTATTCTGGTCCAGCTCCCTGGCCAGATAACCAGCCTTCCACTGGCCTTCCTCCAGCCTATCCATCCCTCTCGTGAACAGGGTGTTCAAAAATGAACGGTGTGTTCCAGCAGCAGCCTCACAGGCACTGAGTAGACTAATCACTTCCCTTGACCCGTTGGCCGATTCTTGCTTATACAGCCTCTGGTACTGTAATACCATACTAGTATTACAGTAATTTATTGCTGCAAGGGTACACTGCTGACTCATATTTAATTTATGCTTACAATCACTCTCTTGTCCTTTTCTGCAGAATTGCACTGAGTCCCTGTCCAAGTTTCAGGACCTTGCTTTTAGCTTTGTTGAACTATGCATTTGATAGCTATTACTTCCATTCTTCCAACTTAGCAAGAGCCCTCTGAAAGGTAGCCCTGATCTCCAGCATATCCACCACTCTCCCGGGTTTGGTATCATGTGCAAACTTGCTGAGAGTCCTGCACCCTTGTCTGGGCCTTTGAAGATGCTAAATAGTGTTGGCCAGATGCTCCTTTTTCACTGCAAACTTGCTTAAAAAAAAAAAAAAAAAAAGTTCAGAGTGGTGGAACCATGTCAACTGTGGAGGGTTTGGTCACATGAAAATGTCTACGTCTATGTGTCAGTGTTGTCTGCTTAGAATCAGTAAAATAATGAAGACACGCTATTGCATGCATGGTGTTTGTGTCCATTCTTTCATATGAAGAGACTGTTTGATGGTAGTGCTAGGAACACAAAATATATGGAAAAAAATCAGCTGGAGGAGAAGGATTTATCTGCACAGGAAACCATTTTCTGGGTTAGGACTGAGGTTAGAAAACACAGTCTAGAACAATGTTGAAGTTACTTTGAGTTTTCAGATCCTCATCACCCACTAATCACTCAAATTATTAAAGCACTATCAAACTTTAGCTGAATTTATAACATATTAGGAGATTCTAAAACTTTGAAAAATATATCTTTTTACTTTTAAAAAATTGCTTGTGATTTTATTACTTTGAATAAAAAATTAAAATGTAAATATGTAATTGTATAAATTTAACATGCTGAGTTTATTGTTTCATCTGGAAAAGGCCTTTTTTTTCCTTAATTGCACATAATTTTAAACACAGGTGCTCAATAGTAATGGAGCTACTACACCTGATAATTCAAGGATGAGGGGATGGGGGTGAACTGCAGTTATCAACGAGTTAGAAAGCCCCCGCCTGGTTCCTGGTGAGTATCAGTAAAGCTTCCACCTCACTTTTCAGAGAAATCCTAAGAAGCAGCTGACACTCCAAGGCTCGATTTCCTGCCTAAAACATACTTTTGTTGATCAGTGTGTCTAGTGCAACTAATCTGGGCAGAAAATCAGGGAATAGGTGTTTACGATCCTTTACAACTGAATGTCTGCTTTCAAGTTATGAGCTTGGCAGGAATTGTCGTTTCTGGTGGAGGGCAAAGCAAAAGTTTCACCTCACTTACTTACCTAATATTCTTTTTTACATCTTTTTTAACCGGAAAGGTTAATTTCAGTGTACATGAAGTAAAGGGGAAAGAAAAAGATTGCTCTTAGGCTAAGGCTAAATTTTCCGCTTATAGAAAGATAAATAATCTCACTGAATTTCATCCTCTTGTGTGAATCTGAAAATATTATTCCGTACAAAACAAAATAAGCAACAGGAATGATTACTCAAATTCCTCTCGATTACTAAAGCAAGATATGTGTAATTAAGCAAATAGTTAAATTTCTCTTAAATTTATTTTAAATTCTATTTCTCACAAATTGAGAGAATTGGAAAACCACAACAGAAACTGCTACTCACATATTCTTTTATAAACGCCCTAAAATTCTTTTGTATGTGTACTGCCAAAATGCTACTACTTTGTGCTGCTTCACAAGTGTCTCCTGAAGTTTAAAACGTACAATGCACTTTCAACACTGATGATAGAAGGAGCATATCCCATCAGATCAAGTAGGAGGAGTTGTTCAGCCCATCTTAAAACTGTGTCTTAGTGAAGAAACATAGAGGTCTTTCCTTTTCTTAGTTTTCTCTGCAGAGTGGATGGAAGATGCCTGGAGAGGGTGGCATCTCTGCGGCACCTCATTCTAATGTGAGAGGGTCTCCTTTCTTGCAGGCTCTGGAAAGGAGCTCGGTTCTGTCCACCTTCTGAGGTTGTACTAAGACATTGCAGAGGGTTTCTAAACAATTTTTCATTTTAGATGTTAGATTTTTGGGGTTTTGCCACTGTTGCCTTAAAAAAGATGCAGAAATCTCATTCTCACTGCGCCAGTGGAACTTTGAAATTGTAAAGACTAATGCTTAAAGAGGTCAAGAAATTATTCCATAAGGGTTCTTCATGCAATGTTGGCCCTCCCTGTTTGTGGGTAGGTGTTTGAGGTATGATGCAAAAGATTACAGCAGTGTTCTTCTTTGACTAACAAAGACTAAAAATACATTTCTAAGATATGTGTGGACCCAGATGCACACTATGCACTGCTATACATAGGAAAAAAAAAAAAAAAAAAAAGGCATTTAACCAACATCCTGTTCATGTGCAAATGTCCCGAAACATGATGGGACTTGCTCACTTATATGTTCAGCTGTGTTAACTTCACAGGTAACTGTTATCACCCATTTAACTAATTTTGAAGAAGGTGATCACTTTGGTTGAAAGAAAAGTTAATGCTTAATGGCCGCTTTTGTGAGTCATTAAACTACACAGTTTTCAGTCAGAAGTATGTCCTAAACATTGGTGATATGTAAACATTCAGAATTGCTTAAAATTTCTATCTTGTATGAAAAAATGTAGCATTTCCTAATATTTTTTACTTGTTTAAGGTAGGTAACAAAATCATATGTTATAACAGATTACAAAGATATGACCAAACTGGCTGAAATTATATGTAAAAAATTATTATGGAGGATATAAGGAAAATAATAAGCATATAAGGAAAATAAGCGAAAATATAAGGAGCAAACTGATTTTGTAGATGAGTGTTCCCATCTGCTGATGTAATATTCTTTCAATATTTTGTATGATTAAATTAATTGAATCTTTCAGTATTTACAAATTGTCCTGAAGTATTTTTCTAAATTCAAACATTGAAAAAAGCATATTTTTAAAACCATTTCTGGCAAGATAGGACATTTTAATCACATGTTTTAAGTTAAGGTCCTTTGAGTTTTATATTCACTTTCACTTTTTATGCACACACCTCTTTCTTAAAACCTTAACTTTATTATCTTCACAATTAATTATATAATTTCTTTTTAAAACAATGCCACTACCTCAAAGAGATAAACATTAAGCATTGCATATTTAATGTTGCAGTGAAGTAATTTTGCTTTAAATTCCACATTGCAGGGAAAGTGAGGAATCGTTTTATAAATCATGTTGTGAATGCATTGTTTTCAACACTGTTATCTTCATGGTTGTTTCACGGTACGATATGTAACACTGAGCTTAATGATATTTGTGGTATTTCGGGAAAGGATAAAGGCAGAGAAAAGAAGGGCTTCCAGCTTACAGAGCTAGAGTTAGTGTTATCTATTCAGTACGTGTCCAAATGTTGAAGACCAATAAATTAAAATTCTGTGTTTGTTTCAATGTATAATGAGTGTAAAGTAACATGCAGTTGTTTTAAGATATACTGTACTTCGCATGAATTTTCAAGTGATTTTTTCAATAGGTCTGTACCATTTCTACTTACCTCTATGATATGAAATACAGACTGCTTTTCTTACAAAATACTTAAAAACAAGCAGTCCCCTCAGGAAAACTTCCAGAAAAAATAGTCTACACAAAACTTAATAGAGTTTGATGGCTAGATGTCATTATGGGTTGAAAATACCTTTTTGAAAATGTAACTGATACAGAAATTATTTTCAAGTACTTAAGTGAAGCAGGCATGGTCTTCCTTCCATTCAGACTGGTAAAAGTCCATTGAAATTTATGAAATTCATTGATATTTCTTATTCAAGTGCAATTTAAATCTCTGTAATTTATGTCTTGCTTAAGAGACATACAAACAGAGACAGATTCACAGATTTGAATAGGAAAATAAAGTTCTCCAGTGATGTGAAAACCAAACCTATTTTATGAAAGCCTGTTTGTGGTCCCACTTTTGGAAGAAGACAGTCAAATCAGTGCATATGTGTGTAGATTTGCATTAACCTTGAGCAATGATGATTTCAATATAATATATATGCTCAAAAATAGATGAGCATGAAACCAGTATGTGTTAATTTCTAACACCTAATAACATGTACTTTTAGAACCAAAAGTAAACGCTACAGCATGAATTTAAAATGATGTGCACTTTAATCTATAGATTTTACTGTGCAGTTCTTAATCATTCGTATATGCATACGTCTTTGACATTTGTAGATACTATTTGTATCTACTATTATTTGTAGATACACCTATTTGTAGATAGGTGCACCTTGGCCAGATACATTTACTGGATGAAGACTGAGGTCTCACTTTATATAAATATTTCCTTAAATGCAGCATTCTTCCCTTGGAAAACTCTGTACCATTTCCATTGAATGGTTATTCCATTCCCTCACAAATGTCTAACCATATTTAAAATTTGCTGAGAAAAATAAAATCTCTCCTTCAGTAATAAATCATCTCAGCTACATGGATGTTTCTAACAGTACCTGTAGAGAATTTATTATCTTTGTCAACTTTAATATTAAGATTCTGAAAGAAAATACAAAATTCTTGCTGATGGCCTGTAGATGTGACATTTATAGATGAGGTGATGACATGACAGTATTGCTTTACATTGAATTTCACAATTTACCACAAGTAAATTGGTAGTTTTAATATAGTAAAAAGAGAAGTCATACATTTATGTTTCATATGTTTATGAACATGAGGGAAACTTTATGAACTTATACTCAAAAATGATGATTCTGAAGTCGTCAGTTTAAGTAAATATAACCTCCAACTCTATGTAGCTTCAAGGACTTGTGCAGCTCCTGGAATTGTGAATTCAGCACCTGGTGGTACCTAGGGTTGTGTCACTGGAAGCACTGTTGCAAACAGGGAGGCTTTTTCACAAAAAACACCCAAGCTGAAAAATGTCAGCAATTCAGCTTAGAGGCATACAATTAAGAAGTTACGAGTTATGACATAGCTCTGTAGTCATACAGACAGAGAAATACATGATGCTGTGTGGCTCTTAAATGAGTGGTTGAGTTAGCAAGATCTTGTACAGTGAAATTAAATTTTAACGGTTAAATCTGTATATGGAATGGAATTCTTTTCATTAAGCCGTGGGTATAAGTAGTGCTATAATGCTCAATGAACAAATTCGATATATTCATATTGCTTCAAAACACATTTTGGTATTTCTCAAAAGATTTTATGTATTTAAGTCTCAAAATATGGACTAGGTGGTAGCACTGCTGTGAGAAAAGAAGTGAAGCTTGTGCTACTGACCTGTTGATCACAGTGGTCCCTTCTGGCCTTAGTTTACTACCATTCTTACTCTTATTTTTGTAATTAATAGTACGAGAGCTCTGCAGATATGAAGACAAAAACGTCACAAACACGAACTATTATTCAGTCTCTAAGTGATTGTCTGAAGATGTATATAGAATAACCCCACAAGCAGGCTACATCCTGAAAAGATCTTACGATGATTAAGAAAGTAGATTGAAATCTCTGGCATTTTTGCCATTGATTGCCATTGTTAGATAAAGAAGTAAAATGATGCTGTATGCTCTTCTCATTTTGCGTAATTACTTTTTGCCATAATTATTCTAAATGTAATCACTCTACTTTCGCATAGTAATTTATCATTTTCATGAGAACTATGAGCTGACGATTGCCAGCACTTTTGAAACACCTGGTGGTAATTGCGTTTCACTCTATAAGTCAGCATCGAAGCTTTTTGCTAACCTGTTGTGAAAATAGAGATCTTTACAAGATAGAAGCTCT